CCCATGATATCTATGACCAGACTTCTTGTAGCCAGTGCCCCTCATCCCTTACCTCCTGATCACTCATTCCTCCGAACTCCTTCCGGATTCCCGGGTTCTCACCTCTCTTGTCCCTTGTGTCCTCTGTCCTTTACTTCACGGACCTCCCATTCCCATTCCCCCAACCCTTCATTTCCCCCTTCACATTTCCTTCCTCTTTCCTGTCTTTTAATCCATTTCACACCCACTATTCCCTTCTCTCTCTCCATGAGATTTCCTGTGTCCCCCTGACTCTGTCCCTCTAAGACCCCTCCCTGTCACACCCCCAACCCTCTCATTTCTCTCAACACCCCTAGTCCTTGTTCTCCTGGTTCCTCCTCCCCTTCCTTTGCCCCCAAGTCCCTCCTTTCAACCGCCCGCCCCCCCAGCCTCACGTCCCCACCGGCCCCCCCTCCCTCATGCCTGCACCCTCTCCCACTGCCCTCGCAGCCCTGCTGTCCCCGGGGTCCCTTCCCTGGGGCTCCCAAGCCCTCCCACCGCTCTCTCCCGGCCCCCTCGCACCCGCTCCCCATTTCTCACTCCCCGTCCCCGGCCGCGGCCCCTCCCTCACCGATGGTGGAGATGAAGGTGGTGTTGAAGGCGTCCTCGGAAAAGCGGAATAGGAGGCAGGTCTTGCCCACCCCCGAGTCGCCGATCAGCAGCAGCTTGAACAGATAATCATACGTCTTCGCCATCTTCTCGCTCCGGCCCTCTGACCGCGGAGCGAGAGGAGCGGCGGAGAGAGGCGGGGAGGGGGCCGCGGGCGAGGGGGCGTGCCCGCTGAGCCGCCGCCGCTCGCCCCGCCCCGCTCCCCGCCCCCTTCCTCGGAGAAGGCCTGCGCGCCCCGCCCCGCATGGCCAATCCGCGGAGGCTTCGTCATCACCGCCCGCGCCCCAGTGTTTGGTGGGGCTTGTAGTTCCTTTGAGGAGTTTCGGGCGTGCCCGGGGCAGGCTGTCCCCGCGGCCCCAAAGGATAAAAGAAGAGCCGCTCTGGGCTGGGTGATCGGGGATTAGGCGTTTCCACTCGAGGTAGGCAGGGAGGGCCGGTTTCCAACTCTGCGTGTCCTACCACCGGAACTTAACTTCGTCGTTTCTTTGTGTGCTGGTGCCTTTCAAATCCAGGACCTCGGAATCTGAGTCCAGCCGATCCCGCATCTCTTCCACCGCGACCCGCAGCTGAGATGCTTTCTTTCCTTCTCGCTGCCCTGGCGCAGGCTGTGGATTATCTGCAGAGTGCCTTACCTGGCTTCTCCAGCTGCTGCCCAGCACCACGTCTGAGCCCCCTCCCGCAGCCCGTCAGTTACGGAGCTCGAAAAGAATGATTGCGGTTCTCACTTGAACCCCACTCCTGTTCTCTTCTTCACGCCTCCAGAGCAGAGCGAAATACAGTGGGTATTTTAGAGGATCTGTTATGCAGACCGCTCATCTCCTCCCGCAGGAAGATGGACAAAAAGTCTGGGAATTGAAATTTTCAAGGCTTGTGCTGCAGGCCTGTGCCCTATAAAACTGCAAGCATTCATGCGAGGCAGGAACTATGACCGTGGGAATCTGGAGGATAAGATTTGGATTTTGTCTTGGCTCAGCTGCTTAATAGCACATAGGCTTTCTGAACCTCAGTTTTCTGATCTGTAAAATGGGTATAAAACAAGCTGTTTCATAAAGTTGTAGGAAAAATTAAGTGAAATACTGAATGTGAAAGCACTTTGAAATCCTTAAGGCAATGTAGAAAAATGTTAGTGGTGATGGTTACCTTCTTCAACCCTCTGTAGGCTCTCACTTTTATGGATAACAAATGGGGGAAAAGCAGCACTCTGTTATACTCAATTTAATCCTTTATTTCTTGCCTTAGATTATTCTTTGTTTTGTGGATATATGATTCAGGCCTCTTTCAGTCGCTAGGGGCAGAAACCCAACCATATCACGCTCTCATGAAAGGGGGATTTAATGGCTCAGGTAAAGCAGAAGGGCAAGCGAATAGCTAAGGAGGTCTGGGACCAGAAGCTCTATCCGTTCAGGGCTCTCTGTCTCTCATCTCTTCTCCCTTGTAATTTCTAACATGTCAAATACCAACAAAAGCTTTTTAGAGTCCTCAATAATTTTTAAGAGGCCAAAGCATATGAGAACCACAGTCTATGGTTCTTAGGTCTAAGGAAACACCTTTTGGAAGGTTAGAGAAGGTTATTAAGGGAACCAGTGGACTCAACCATTAGTAGACTAAGGAGAAAACTTGGACAGTTAGTTGAACAAGACAGCAGGTTTTTCTAAAACATATCTTGTGCGCCTTGTGACTTTATGTTCAATGCCAGTGATATTCCATTCTTCGTCTTGTTGCGAGACAAGAAAGATGAGAAAATTCAGTTGGGCCTAGGAGCTGCTTTCACCTTCTATGTGAAAAAAAAAGAAAAAGATAAAATGTGTCATTAACTCACACTTCCTAATCATACAGTACCCAGAGGGTTGCTGCTAATCTAATGTCTAATTTCTAGAGTCCACTTGATGGGAACAGATCTCTAAGAAGGTCAGAGTCACAGTTTCTATCCCCTAATGAGGAGGGATTCTGTCCTCTGGCACAGGCTGAGCCTCCTTGTCCCAGACAGTTCTTGGGCAAGTCTGTGAACTTGGCCTCAGCCAGGGCTGAACAAACGTAGACAGCACCTTCCTCTTCATTTGGAAAAGAAGTGAAAAAAATCTTCAAAGACCACTGGAATCCTCTTTCTTCTGTACAACGTGTACTGATTAAAATAACTTTTAGTTCCACTACCTGCATGCAACTACTGGCATTCTCTCTCTGTATGAATAAGAACACGCTGATGTGGCAAAGAACTTAAGTTCATAAGAGAAGCTAGGGTTAGGAATCTTAAAGTCCCTAAGTTTCCTTAGGGGAATTTTGTTAACTGATGGGAATTAAAAATTTTTTTGTCTTGTTTTCACTTCCCTGGCTTTTCTCTATTAGCAAGTGTGTATAACATTTGGGACTTTCTAGCTGATCAGTCTGTATACCACTGTTGAACCATTCAAGCATTTTGATATACTGACACTACTTCAAGAAGAATCCAATTTTTTTCCTTTTGTGAATTATGAATTTTCATATTTTGTATAACAACATGTTACTTAGAGATCAGATTTGGGTGGTAGTAACTATTATTGAATCAAGGCACTTTGCGCAAAAGACTGGACAATAAGTGTATTTGTAGACCTAAGGGTCCCACAGATCACAGGTTGCTGGCTGCCACTTTCTTTTCTTTCTACCAGTGGCACGTTACTATGTTCTGAGAAAACCGCATCAGTACTTTTTTGCCAGTTGCCCAAACCCACCCTTAAAATGCTATGTCACTGCAGATACTAAGCAGACCAGCACTTTCAATTTAATTCTGTAAATGTTTATTGAAGCCTTTGATAAGTTTAACATGTACATGGCAGCTTGACTTAACAGGAATCTAGCTGTCCAAGGAGTTTACCCTCTGTGGTTTTTGTCAGGCCAGTACTCTTTTCCTCCTGCTTTGGGGCAGCCACTCCTCCCCCTCTGGTGGCTGTGAATCATGGTACTTTATTCCTTCAGCCACAGAGGTGGGCATATGGCCAGGCTAGGTCAAACTGAGTTCTTACCCGTGAATTTTCTTGGAAGGTGGGGTGACGATGATGAAAGGAGGTCTCGCTGATGTGAGGTCTTCGTGAGCTTCAGGCTGTTTGATCAGAATGTAGTTCATTTTCCTGTATTATCTTGTTGCTGCCCTCCTCTATATCGTTACTCTGTCCTCAGTCTGGCTTTCCTCATGGTAGCAAGCAGGACTGCCATGTTGCACAATTCCAAGAGCCATTATTCACTTCTTACAGTAGTTTATTCATCCTGGGGGTCTTTAACCCCCAAGAATCTACAAACACATTCTTGAGGGTCTGTGTGTTCTCTAGGCAAATTTTCAAATTAATTCAAGCATTCCTTAACTGGTTTAAATTGTTCCATGACACTTGAATGTGAGAAATGTCACCTTTCTTAATTGCTTAAGTGAAATTAAACTTGGCTGAGACCCCTACTCCTCAAGGGCTGGCAAAACTGGTACCAAACATTATTGGGACTTGTCCTCCCCTTAACTGTATCCTACAAGAATCCAGGTGCTTACATGGTCCTGAAAAATTAGGGACAAAGCAACCTCTGGTTGTCAGTCTGTACCCATCAGTGCTGATGCTTCTGTCCAACCACCCTTGGGTTCTGGTCCTCTGCCATCTGTTGAGCACAGCTGTCCTGGTAGGCTACAGAGATGTCCTTCATGGTGATTATTTTCAATGACTGATGACTCAGTCATCGAATAAGTTCTCTCTCTGTTATCTAAAGTTTGTGTACTTCTTTGTCTTCTCCCTTAAAACTTGAGCCTTTTGAGGAAAGGGACATTGCTGATTTCTGTGTCACCAGCATGCCTAGAATGATGCCTTACACATAGTAGGTACTCAGTTGTTGAACGAATGAATGAACATCTGACTATCATGCCAGAAGTCTAGGTTGTTGTTGTTTTTTTTCCACACCGCATGGCATGCGGGATCTTAGTTCCCTGACCAGGGAAAGAACCTGTGCCCCCTGCAATGGAAGCACGGAGTCTTAACCACTGGACCACCAGGGAAGTCCCCAGTCTAGGTATTTATAAAACATCTGGGACACCTTCAGTTTATTATTTGCTATAAGACCTAGGTATTTTTAGCCTCACCAATACCTTTCTGGTTGTGCTTTACCTTCTATTTATATGTTATTCATTTTGTAAGTATACTATTTATTGTTGTGTTTAAAAAATCAGTGTGATTATATATTATTTCTCTAGCTTGTCAAGACCATATTGAATGATAACTCCTCAAAAATACCAATTTCTCATATCAACTGTCTGTCATCCCAAACCATGCTATTTGTTTAGTGATAATCCAGTGGGATAATTCTACAATTATCTTCATCAGAGAGGGACACACTGTACTCTTTCCACCCACTGATGTTTCCTGAGCAATCATTGGTTGAATAATGTCTACTCAAACAAGCTCACACTGTGAAACCAGCTCAGCAAGGCCTACCTGGAGGATGCAAAGGTATGTCATGTGGCCCCTGCCCTCAGTTTGCTTCCCAGGTAATTGAGGGGAGATCCCACAAGAGAAAAGTTCAATGATAAATGGGAGGCAGATACCTGGCAGACACACACTTCATCTATTCTGATGGGTCAGGTGTCTGTTCTGATTGGTTGGCTTTTAATTCGGATTGGTCAGACATCCAATCTGATTGGTCAAGTGCTTATGCCAAACTGATTGTTAAATATTTTGCATATCTCCACTGAATGTAAAAATTAAATAAAAATGACATGATAATACGAAAAAATGGCTACATGAAATTTACTCTACTATAGGGTGGATTGGAAGGAATCTATTCTAATACACTTGTATTATTTCTTTCTCTAATAATAAAGTTTTTGACAATAAAATATGTTAGTGAAATTCATTCCTTTCATTAGCCTGGGCATCGCTATGTAGGATTTTGTGTCAAATAAGGCACATACACAGTAAGTACTATGTGCTTTGGGTAGAGTTTCTTGTTAGAATGAGTGATTAAAGAAAGCCTTTTGGAACCAACTTTAAAATGGACTTTGATCCAATGGCAAAGTCAAGATGTTATGAAACTCACAATCAGCATCATAAGAGGTATTGAGATACGTGTGGCAGTAAATAATAGAATACTAAATGCTAAATAATAAAAATATTTACTTAATCATATACTAAAATAATCAGATCTAGAACTAGCAACAGGTGAGTGATCCAGCAGCTCAAATGACATGCCCAGGACCTGGTTTCTCTCTCTTGGTTTCTTAGCAATGCTTCCTCAAAGTAACACTGATTTCAACAGACCGGCCTCACGTGGTTGCAAAATGTCTTGCTGAAACTCCTGGGACACCTAGATTCAAAGAGAGCAGAATGTAAAGAATCCTCTTTCTCAGGAGTTCAAATAAATACCCTAGAATTCAGTTCCATGGGCCCTGACTGCCCTTCCGTGAACCAATCCTAGGGTCCAAGAGAATGGCGTAAGCCAACTGGCTTAAGTCATTCGAGCTGAATACGGGGTCAAACTCACCCTAAATCACAGGATCCTGTTAGAAATAGAGAAGACAGGAGGCAACAATGCTGTAGAAGCAACCAATGAAAACTACAACCTGTTTCAGTGTCAAATGCATATAGATATTCATATCATGTTCAGTTATGTTGAAATTTCTGGAGAGGTCATGGGGCTGAATCCAGGAAAATTCTGACTTTTCTCTTAAACAGATGGATTGATGTTGAACTGGAAAGAAGAGGCACGAGAGAAATACTGTTTCCTTGAGGAGGCGATGGGTGGTCCAAAGCTAGAATTAACACAGGCACTTAGACACCTGGTCCCTTTTCTACCCCACTTCAGCAACCAGGTAAGGTTAAACACTTTGATAGCCTTGAACTTTCTAAATTCTCTATCAGGCCCTGACAAGCCTGTCCTGGGATTTTTTAATGGAAGGAAGATTGGACAAAGCATCAGGTGACCTGGGTTCCGTTCCTAGCTCTGCCCCTAACTGGCTCTGTGACCTAAAAGAAGGACAACAACCCTTCTGTGCCTCAGTTTCCTCATTTGTAAAATGAAAGAGGCTGGACTAGAGAATCCATTTCTGTCTATAAAATCCTTTGGCTCTTGAACCCAAGCTCCTAACAGATATCCTGAGATCTGCCTTAGGGGTTCTGGTCTTACAGACTTTGGTCTCCAAGGCCAACTAAACACCCTAGTGAATTGAGGAGATTCATCAACAGGCCTAGGAGGCCTTGGAGGCCAAGCAGAGTGTGGGGCTGGAAAGGAGCCCAAGACACCTTGTTCCTTATTCTAAAAAGCATTCAGTTCACCCTATGACTCAGTTATCAGTACTTCTCTCTTTCCAAGTAGTGCAAAGTTTCAGTCCTTTCTGTGACGAGAACAAGTTACTGGGTTGCCAACAACTTATTGGATTGCCAATCTACAGGATGAAGAGAAAAATGAAATTCTCCTTTGTATTTTGAGCCATATTCAATCAGATTCCTGCCTTCAATTCCTGCTTAATATGGATAATCATTTCCTGAATAACCTTAAACACAGATTTCACTCCCACCACCAATTTAACAGCAGCAAGGGCTTATAAAACGGCGTTTATCACGGAGCACGGTGAATGCTCCCAAACCTGTGATAAAACACCCTATCTCTCTTGAAATTTTTGCTCTTGCTGTTCAGGCAGAACTGAAGAGTTAACATGAAATCAAGCAGATCTCTTTGATTACTCATTTTTAAGATTTACAATTGTAAATTATGGTACAATCTAACAGAATGCTGAAGAAATAAGGCTGAATAGGTAATTCTTTGGGGCCAGGATGAATATTCAGATTAAGAAGAACTGTTAATGAAATCCCAATCACATAGTAATTTCCGTCCTATTACTTTCTGAAACTCAAGTAGCTGTATGGCCTAATTAGGCCTGTTTGGGGGATTATCACAACATTTTATTTCTGCAGTGAGTGACATCACTCGGCGTTTAATATTCATTGAGGCTTTTATGAAACAGAGAGGTTTCCATATGTCTCTAGAGGAAATCATTTGTGTTTGCCATCTGCTACTCAAGAGTAGTTTTATAGACAAAGAATGCAAATCGCTCGGTTCTTTAATTACTTTGGGGTTGGGCTATACTACAGTTGGGATTGTGGGACAGCCAATTCACTGCTAGGAGAATACTGTTGTTTACTTAGCCACCAACTTAAAGAATTCTTTTCAAGCAAATGGCATGAAAATAAATTGAAGCCTAAAATTATCTTTGTCCTTTTAAGTAGAGGCAAAGACCATTGTGAAGTGATGTGTGAGGCTTTTTTGAGTTGGCATTAAGGAGACACTACCAGAGCACAGGACATTGAGGTCAGTGTAGCAAGCATCGGTTCTCTTTTCTTAGTTCTGACACCAAAGGAATATATGACTCAGTACTTAAAAAAAAAAAGCCAAGGATCTCCTTGAGCTCAGTATCAAAAAAAAGATAATTTACTCTTAGTCACCCAGGAGCTAATTACCTTAGCTTTGGACTCAGTGCCATTTGTTTCTCTTTCCCCCATTCTCATTTGCTTCTTGAATTGTGGATAATTCTCTGCTCAGTAGCATGTCCACCAGCCTATGGACACACACCATTAGTTTTGCTTCATCAGGAGTAACTTCAAACAACAGAGTTTTACCAAAAGTGGAAACCCTGGAGCTTTAAGGTTATCTGTAGATTTCAATTACTGATGCTTTTTCTAAACTTCCTCACAGTAAAATTTCATTCACTGCGATTGTTAGCACATAGAATGTGAAAAATTGGCAACTGAAAGGGACCTAGTTTGGCCATTGACTAGCTATGAGGTCTTAACCTCATGGCCCTCTGATTTCTAAGACTATTTTCTGCTTTAAGATGCTATAAAATCAATGTGTTTAAGAGATCGTTTATTCTAATGTTTCCAACATTTGTACCTCAGAATACTAAGTGAATCAGCAGATGTTAGTAGGTGAAACTAGAAGAGAGGGTTTCATGGTCAAACTCGTTTGAGAAATGCTGCTATCAAACTGTTTTGAAGGTACAGCTTCTCCGAACCCTTCATATGCTGCTGTGCCTTGTGACTCTCCACCACTGGGTGTGGTGGGCAGCTTTTCCAACACTGCTGCCCCAGGCTGCTTTTTGAAGAAATGTCTTATGGGACCTGTGTTTTGCAGAATTTAATTTGGGAAACTCTGATGTAACCTCAACCCTTCGTTTTAGACATGAAGATCTAAGCTGTAAAGTCCTCCTGTCACGATGAGAATCAGCATGTTTACAAGAAGCTGTCCAGAAGCAAGGTGGCATCCGTTAGCAGAGTGCCTGACACACTGGACCGAGAGCACCTGTCTCTGCCTCCTGGTTTCTCCCGACTCCCAGGGCAGGACTCCCTCATGCTGCCGCTGTCACCATCACACCCACAGAAAGGCCAGCCAAGGGCTGGGGGCAATGTGATGGCTGTTCCCTTCCCGCCTGGGGCTTTACCCTCAAGTCCTGGGGGACTGACAGGTATTGTACTAACTGAAATGAAAATCATTTTATGTGCAGAAGCAAATTCACCCAGAATTCTGAAAGTGCAAAAGACTAGATCCTTAAAGGAACATTCTGGATGCTGTGTTTTTCAGAAAAAAAGGCGAATGTTGAGTAATTAAGCTAACATTCGCGTTCTTTCTTTTCTATTATTCTATATTTTGAGTGAGTTATAGGATGTGTTAGACAGTCCCATCACGCCCAGGCTAATTTCTTACAGTGACATCTAAAGTTCTGTAAAATGATCTGCACAATAAAATGGTTTTAAAGGAGAATTACTTAAATTTCTGGAGGGCATGAATTATATTTACATTGTATCCCTAATGACTAACACAGGGTTTGGCATATATCAGGCACATAATGATAAATACGTTTGCATTAATTAGTAGATTATAATCTGATGATTAGGCTTTAATAAAATAATGGTAATAACATATTTTTGTTTGTTTCAAACTAGTATATTTAGAGGTTCCATTTTCACTCCTCAATAGATTTTATGTATTTCTCATATGCTTCTTCACTCATTAGTTCATCTAGTTCTGAAGGGTTACTGTGTGTCATCTTTTTTTTTTTTTTTTTTTTTTTTACATTTTTATTGGAGTATAATTGCTTTACAATGGTGTGTTAGTTTCTGCTTTCTGAGTGTCATCTTGATCAGCCAACCATCTTCATAACAAGATCTGTTGACAAGTCCTGGATTTTCTGCTACAGTTTCATTAATTTTAGTTACTTCTCCTGATAAGAGAATAGAGTTCACTAGCAGCTTTCACAATTTCCAAAGTACCAAATTCCTCATTTGTTCAATTTTGTCCCAACTTCAGGCAGACTACAGTAAACAACATCTCCCAAAGCTTCCTGTGCAAAATTGCTGATTCGCACTATTCCAACACTGTTTTCTGTTGTTACCCGTTCGTGTTTGTGAATTTACGCACCAACAGCAGATTGTGGCCGGGGCGCAGTGCCCCGAGGGCGCCCGCCCGCAGTACCCAAGGCAGCGGGCGAGCAGGGCGCGTTGGGCGCAGAGATGGCACGCAGGCTGCAGACCGCGGCCCACACGCTCCAGCGCCATGTTCACAGGGGCGCAGGGGGTCTCCATGCAGCATCTAGAGCACCCCGGCCGACGGGGGTGGGGGAGGCCGCTGGTAATAACATATTAATGGTACTAATTAATTATAGCCTACCTTTTCAAAAATCTCTAAGATACATTCCTTGCCCTGGTTAAGGTTTGTAATCAGAAGCTGGTTAACGCTCCTTATTTGTAACCTGTTTTCATAAACAATTGCACTGTGATGTGGTGTTTCTTTTAGGTAGTAATAAATGGGATCACTTCTATATTTGACTTTAAGACACATGCACATAGACTTAGAATTCGAATGAGTCAGTGGACATCAAGTTCTGTCTTCCAGTCATTACAGAATTCTGCTTTTGTCACTTGGCCTATATTAAACATCCCCAGAGATAAAACACATAATAATAAGCCTGAAGAAATGTGTGATCCTGGAGGGCCTTCCGAGTTATCAAAGAAGGATTAAGTCATGTTGGTAAATTATAGTATGTGTTCTGTACAGTTGACCCTTGAACAACATGGGCTTGAACTGCATGGGTCCACTTAACACGCAGATTTTTCTCAATAAATATCCAAAAATATACATATAGAACATCCTGTGCAAGACTTGAAGTAGATAGCCTATCCTTACGTAAGCATGAGGTGAGCGATATTTAATACGAAATTCATTTTAGTTTTCTTACTGTTTCATAAATTTGCTTTCAAAGAATTACATGACCATATACTATGCCTCTCTCTCCCTCCCTCTCTCTCTGTCTCTCTGTCTCTCTCGTAACTGGAGAAACTGCATATCTGCCTATCATCACGGGTACGTGGTTTAAAAAAAAAATAACAATGTTTCTAATACTGTAGTATGAATATGACTGTAATACTGTATGCCATAAAAATGGTATAACCATTCATGTGGGTATATGCTAAGTTACAGTGAAGCAATAGTATCAATTACACTAGGCTACCATAAAGCAATCATATTGCTCCTTCTTTGTTACCAATGCATGAATCATTTTGTCTGTAAATAAATATGGATTTTTTTCACATTATATTTTCATTTTTGATGTCTAGTGTTGTAAGCAGATAGGGTAGGGGGTCCCCGGAGAAAGACAGCCAAGTATGGCTCCTCTTGACATAAGAGAAGCCATTTTTGGCCTAAGCCATTTTGTGATCTAAGTCTGGACACAATGCTTGTCCTTGAACTGGTCTCAGTAATTAATGACCTTAAGGGAACCAAAGAATGCAGGAGCAAAAATGACTGTTATCAGGCAAGAGAAGTAACAATAGCAAAGGTAATATATCAGTTGTAAAGACTCCCAGTTCTGCTTCAATGGTAAAGATTAGCCTGAAGCACTTTCTTGGGCTGTTTTGTAGAATTTAAACCTCCCTGGAGCACTCAACCACCAGATCAACTGAAACCTAAGGGATGATGCTGTTGACCTTTTCTGACCCTGGTGACTTCAATCAACTAAAGCTTGGACTCTGTCAATCCCCAAGTGTATGCTGAATTCTCTGCTCAAGCCCCTTCATGAATGAATATGCATGTACCCTCAGCTTAAAACGTCACCAATTTTGGGACTTTCCTGGTGGTCCAGTGGTTAAGAATCTGCCTTCCAATGCAGGGGATGCAGGTTTGATCCTTGGTCAGGGAACTAAGATTCCCGTATGCTGCAGGGCAACTAAGCCTGCATGCTCTAGAGCCAGAGAGAAGCCCACGTGCCTCAATGAGGAGCCTGCATGCTGCAACAAAAGATCCTGCATGCCACAGCAAAGATCCTGCATGCTGCAACTAAGACCCGATACAGCCAAAATAAATAAATATTAAAACAAACAAACAAACAACAACAACAACAAAAACTTTGCCAATTTTGCTGTTCAGGGAGACACTGCTTTGGGAAAGATCCCCAGTGTTCTCCTTACTTGGTGCAAGTAACAAATCCTTCCTTCTCCTGATCTTTGGCTTGGCTGTATCTGTTGGATTGACCCCCACCAAGAGGTCAACAGTTTTTTGGTAAAAATTTTGGTGACCACGCAGGGACATCTCGCCTAGCCCCTTTGGGTTCTCCCAGCTCTATGTTGCTGGGGTCCTGCAGGCAAGGGCATAGGAGAATCCCTCTTGGTGCCTGAGTTGTCAGGTCCATGCACCTCAGCTCACTTATCAGACTCAGAGGCTACTCCAGACATCTTGATCTGGAGTGTCCCTTTGAAGAAGTGAGTGGCATTCACCCAACAAATCAGCTTCTGTCCCCATCTCAACAGGGGAGGAGGAATGACTCAAGAACTGTGCAGTTAATCTTGTCCAGTAAGCAGATAGGGTAGGGGATCCCTGTTGAAAGAGAACCAGGCATGGCTTTCTTGACATAAGAGAAGCCGTTTTTGGCCTAAGCCATTTTGTTATCTGAGCCTGGCAACAGTACTTGTCCTTGAACAGGTCTCAGTAATAATGATCTTAAGAGAACAAAAGGACAAACTTAGGCAAAAGAAGTAACAATAGCAAAGATAACAAATTGTAAAGACTCCCAGTTCTATTTCAATGGTAAAGGCCAGCCTGAAGCACCATCTTGAGCTATTTTGCAAAATTTAAATCCCCCCCTCAGGTGCTCAACCACCAGATCAACTGGAATCTAAAGGATGATAGGGTTGACTTTTTCTGACCCTCATGACTTCAATCATCTAAAGCTTGGACTCTACCTACCACCTAAGCCCATTCATGAATATGTACATATGCTTAGCTTAAAAATTCCCTAATTTTGCTGTTCAGGAAGATACTGCTTTGGGAAAGAACCTCAGTGTTCTCCTTGCTCCAAGTAATAAATCCTTCCTTCTCCTGGTCTTTGGTTTTGTTGTGTCTTTTGACCTGACAGCCTCCAAGAGGCAAACCCAGTTTTTGGGTGACAGTCTGGCCAGGTTAGCTTGGACTCTGAGGGGTTGTCAGACAATCCTGACCTCAGGCTTGGGAACCAAGATCCCACAAGCTTCATGGCACGGTTAAAAAAAAAGGAAGAAAGAAAAAAAGGAGCAGTACAATATCAAAGAATAAAAAATAAAATATTAGAAAGATAAAAAATAATTAGGAAAAATAAAACTATAATTGAAACAACTGCAACAAGGTAAAATAAAACCACAACAGAAAAAAGAAAACAAAAAAGGGGGGAGGGGGAAGAACAAACCAAAAGGAGGGATCACTAATAAAGTATAAAGAATAAAATAAAATCAGAAAAATAAAAGATTTATTAGGAAAAATAAAAATATAAAAGAATCAACAACAATGAATCAACAAGGTAAAACAAAACCCAATCTAAAAAAGGAAAAAAGAAAAGAGAAAAAAAAAGCCTTGGCTATGGGGGTGGAGTTTAGGTGGGGGGGGGACTTAGGCAGGGGCGGGGTTTAGGGTGAGGCGGGACTTAGGCAGGTGGCGGAGTGACGTTTGAATGTGGGGCAGGGCCGCTGCTTAGGACCTGCGCAGAAGGGGAGAGGCAGCACGTGGAAAGGAGGGCCTCTGGAGTGTGGGGTTCCAGAGTTTGGCGGTAGGGCCCTGAGTGAGGGTGTGTGGGTGGGTTTCACGCTTAGCGCAGTTGGAGTGCGCATATGTCTCCGAGTGTAGAGATGGGGCCCTGGGTGGGGGTGTAGGGGTGGGGCCTGGACTCTGTGCAGCAGGAGGGAGGCTCCGAGGGCAGAGCATTCGGCCCAGGAGCACGTGGTGTGATGCCTAAGTGGACAGGGAAAGCACTGGCCATGTTCCCTTCCAGTCCTTTGCACCCCTCACCCATCATCTCACCCAGGGTCTCCCCCGTCGCCACTGGACCCCTAACCGTGGGTAGGTCCCGCTGGCTGTAGGAATTCCTTCCCTCCCGCAGCTGCCCCTCAGGGATGCCGGTCCGGGAGGTCCGGCCTTTACTTTTGTTCCCCCTTCCCTCCCTCCCACTCCCTCAGGACCCGCAGCAGGAGGGGGCCTCGGTGGGCAGAGGATGGTGGGCAGAGGATCAGGCCCCAGCTCTCAGCAGGCTCCTGGGGGCCCAAGTGGGCAGGGAAAGTGTGGCCACGTTCCCTTTTGATCCTCTGCCCTCCCAGTGGTCCCCCAATTTCCCCCTTTGGGCGTGGGATCCCTTCCCCTCCCCCAGCCACCCCTCGGGGCACCAGTCCCATCCCACCTCCACTTCTCCCCCCACCTTCACTCCCCTCACGCCCCATGTACTACCCGGTCGCTGGGGGTTTCTCCTGTCCCCTTAGGTGTCTGTGGTCCCCCACCAGTGCCTGGTAGGTGCCCTAGTTGTGAGGAGACGCGAATTCTGCATCCTCCTAGTATTCCATCTTGACTCCACCCCCCCTTTTGATATTTTTGACAAAATTGCCAAATATCATATTCTTTTTAAAAAAATTTTTGGCCATGCCACACAGTTTGTGAGATCTTAGTTCCCCAACCAGGGACTGAACCTGTGCCCCCTGCAGTGGAAGTGCAAAGTCTTAACCAGTGGACCACCAGGGAAGTCCCCCAAATATCAAATTC